TGTTATATGTTATATATATATATATGTGTTATGGCATGTATGTATATACAAGTATTTATGTTACAAAACTTTAAAACGTCAGAAGGCGTTTGATGTTTTCTTTTCTTTTTACTTTTTGCTACCAACATTTCGCGCATCACTGCTCATCGAACGTGTCGAACGGCAATTTACACTTATGGCCCAACATTATAGTTGCTTAAATCTAACTTAGTTATTTATTTATGTAATACAATATTTAATAATAACAAACAAGCAGCAAGAAACCAGTTAACGAAAATCGCCAAAAAATTCCTGTTCGCCTGCCGAGTGAGCAAAACAAACAAAAACACAGAAAAAGAGGGCAACCTACAAAAAACAACAACAAATTTTGTTTCTTAATCTTTAAGTAATAGCCAAATGACATGCCAAACTAGGGTGTGTACTTTGAACGAGAATAAAAATAATAACAAAAACAGCGACAAATCGAAAAGCTTTCGTTAAAAAACGAAAAGGATAAGAATAACGAAATAAAATACGAATAAAAAAAACTTGGCAAATAAAAATTGATTTTTCGCGAATTATTGCACGCCCTTGTTCCTCGTGCTTATTCAACTTTGTACAATTTCATATATATGTATATGTGAAAAAAGTGCGCTTGTGTCATGGGCGCAACTCGCACTTCAATCAGAAAACTTAGAACTTCCATTTACGTTGTCTGCTTCAACTATGTTGCATGCACACTCATACTAAGGCAGGTGACGAGTTCCAAAGGAGCTATGCTTGCGGCAGAACTGTAGGCGTTTTAAAACCGGCTCATATTTTGTTGTTCAATATAGTTTTTTTTTTTCAAAAAACCTTTGCAGAAAGCTTGTGTGCTGTCAGTGGCACTTAAGTGCTTTAAATAATGTTAAAATTCACTCGTTTATATACATACATATATAATGCAATCAGAAACTTTTTTTAAGTTGTTCGGAATTATGATTGTTCCAATAAAAGGACTGGTTTGAGCTGGTCATATATTTAAAGCATGTTTATCTTGGATATGAATTGAACATCAAAGTAGTCTAAAACAAGAAAAAAAGTCAACTTCGGCTGCACAGGAGCTATAATACACTTTTTTATAGCAGAAAAGGATATAAAAAGATCGTGATCTTAATTTCGATCGGAAAGTTTGTATAGCAGCTATATGCTATATTAGTCCGATCTGGATAAATTCGGAAGTAGCGCTGCTTAAGATAATAATCGGTACCAAATTTCGTGCAGCTATCTTGAAAAAAAAGTTGTAATACAAGAACTTAATTTAGATCGAGCAGTTTGTATGATAGCTATATATACTTATGCTGTTGTCTGATATCAGCGGTTCCTACAAATGAACAGCTTTTTGAGAAAAAGAGGGTATGTGCAAAATTTCAGATCGATATCTCAAAAATTGGGACGGATGAACAGGCAGACGAACCTGGTTAAATCGACTCAACTCATTACGCTGTTCCTTCTGATTCCCATATTCTCTTCAGGATCTAATGTGTTTGCAACAGCATATCCTTATGCCGAAATCGAGATGCAATTTCCAACTAAAATGCCACAATTTACACCAAACTAGTCTTAAATCAGTACTTCTTTAACCAGTCAAGCTTTCCGCAAGCGAATGCAATTACATACTTTACTAAGCCCAAATTATTTTTCTTTTTGTATATATAAACCAGAAAATACATAAAGACATGAGTTATGTGCCTACAGGAGAGCATGCGTTGTCACTTGGTATTATGTGGGCGTTGGATAAAATATCGTAAGCCATATAATAACATATACTAGTTTAAAAAGAGTGTATAATGTGCATAAAGGTAATTATAAGTAGCTTATGTTAGTATTATATGCTCGTTTAAAGTAAATCCCACGTATTGAACACTTATCGCACTCAAATCGGACATTTTCTGACATTAACATACGAAGCATGAATTAAAAAGAAACATTAATTTTTTTCTGCAACGGACCAGTGTGGAATTTAGAGTGACTAAGCTTATTAAAATTATGTGTGAACATTGAGAAGTCATTGGTGCTTTACAGGATTTGAGAGTTATTATTTTCGAAGCAAAAATTTTATTAACCTTAAGCTCGCTATATAAAACATGATATTAATCACGTTAAAAGCAGCAATATAATAAACATTGAAAATCTTTCAAGATCTAGCAACACCAAACTGCTGAATTGTTGTTGTCAAAGGTCACTCGAAAATTAGAAACTATAATATTTGTTAATAACAATAAAAAAAACTAAAATCAATAGTAGTGTGTGAATCGAGCCTATTGTTTTGCACAGCTTGTAAAACAAAAACGACATTTAACTTAACGACTCAGCCATAGGTACGTTCAATTGACTTCGACGGCGATGACGCTAGCGCTAAATGTGGCAGCATTTTAATTAGAAAATTACTTCACACCGCGAAACTTGCATGCGAATTACAAGCTTTTTCCAGTTAGGTGCAAACTCGAAAATGGCAGTTAAACTAGATGAAGATACAGAAACAAGTTTGATTACTTAATTGGCTGTACGTGCTAAAAGTCCAAATTAGAAAGAAGAAAAATAAAAGCAGCGCTGTAAGAGAACACTATTTCTAGTGTAAAACATATGGGAAAAAGAGATAATTATTGAAGAAAGTCTTCTACAAACATTTGCATTCAAAACTAATTAAATTCTTTTTTGTAACAAGTTTTACCAATTTTAAAAGCATACTTAAGAAAAAATAATTACTGTAAAAAGAACTTTTTCGAAAATTTTGTATTGATTTCTTTTCTTCAAGACACGACTTCTACCCGGTCCACTGGGATAACATACATCATAAAATGTTTAAGAAAGTATTCATTCTCATATGAAAAAATTATCTATATATCCATAAAAACTCAAGATTTCGTTGAAACTATCCAAATACTAGAAACAAGAACGAGATTGTAGTCAAACCTAACCCAGGTTCCTACAGGTACCTTTTGGATAATATTGTAACCGAAATTTAACTCGATTACATAACGTATATTACATAACGTATCTTTGCCCTCTGGCTTCAAGTAGTCGAGAACAAAGATAAGTGAGTCCCGGATGAGTTGATTACACGTCCAAAAAACTGCAACAAAAGTTCACCGTGACTGGTAAATAGATAAAAGAAAGGCAAGCTAACATTCAGAACCTTTCTAAAAGAGATATGGATATATTAAAGGAAACGCCTATCACAGTAACGGGCAACATCAATGATTAGTATACATGAAAAAGATGTTTTAATATCCCACACAAGTATTCAGTACAATGGGGAAGCTTTCTACCATTTCTTCTGGTTGCCTACACTTACACACTTATTATTTAACGTATTTCTATTCCTCGAATAAAGACTGGTAAGCTATTATCTACACGCAGTCGCATTCATCACCGCAACGTTAACGCCGACAAATAAATTATTTAGCTTTTTGGACATGTTCACAAGCGTTGGGTTTTTGAATTTTTGCTGTGTCATTTTTAAACAATGCACCGTCAAAAGTTTCGTGGGTAGTTGATATTGATTATTTTCACGAATTTATTTTCTTTAACTAACAAACGAACTAGCAGCGCTTGTTTGCTTGCCAACACAATATCTTGGGAATTAGCAACAACTACAAAAAAACAATAATACAACAATAATATGCACAAAGAAAAGTCATGCTGGTTAAATACCGGGTATAATACCCATATTGTGCCAATAAAAAGCTGCTAAAGTCACTAAGCGCATAAGTGCATATTGTAGATATTACGCATACTTTCTACCAAGTTGTAGAAATGTCGCAGTTTGCAATAATTTTTTTTATATGAATTTTATAGTCATAATTTTTTTTTTATATGAATTTTATAGTCATAATTTCTTTATATAAATTAAAGATGCAAGAAAAAATATAAAAATTTACACAGAATTTATTTCATATAAAACTCACAACCCCGTTGCCTAGTCTTATAATTAAATAGTGAACTTGAGTGCCTCATTAAACTCAATAGTTTTCCAATGATAGTGCAAACATGACGACTATATCATATAAGACAAAAAATGGGTATAAACTAATGCCAACTTTCGTAGGTAGTCAAACGAAGCACAACCAATGAAGTGCACTTCGTTACACACCGCTAATAAAGAACTGAAAAGCAAAAAAAAAACAAAAAAGTTATAACGTAAAATAATACAAATATTAAAATGCGTAACTATGAGCATAAAGCAATAAAAGTTGTTTATATTTAAATCACACACTATATACGAGTATCTGTCATTCTTTCAAATCCGAACGTGATTTATCTCTAGTCAACAGCGAACAAGTCACGCACAACGTATTTCGACAAAAAAAAAAATATTGAAAATGAAATCTCAACTTGTTAGCACATTCCCCATGGCGACTCATTTGGAGAAGCGCTGGCAAAACTTGAAATACAATTTTTTTTTTAATATCATAATTTTTTGTGCAAATTAATGCTTTTTATACACTGCGCGAGGAACCATTGCTCAACGGTTAGCTGGGAAACTCCATAGATAACGCAGAGCAACAGAAGCTCTAATCCAGAAATATAATACTACTCGATTAATTAGGCGCTAGTAAAGATAAATATGTTTTTAGCAAACATACGCGGCCACCACTGTCTATCCTACATTGAATCGGCAAAAATTACAGGAAAAAATCCTCCACCTATCTCCTTAAATAATTGCTCTCGCCTAAGGCCTTACCATTTGATTGTTGAACGATATAATTGGTTTCAAACAGAAATTTTAAGCCTTCGAGACTCGAACTTACTAACACCAGAAAGGAAGTCCTAGTAAGATTAAATAAATATCAGCAAGCTGGAGCCTGACAAACCGAAGTTTTTCAAGGCTTCGGCTTGCAACTGATTTGTTGTAGAGTGTTTCAGCAAAACAACGATAATATTTTCTATTATTGAATAAGAAATACATCCTTGACCCGCACTTAAATATATGTTTCTATAGTTCTACTTAAAATATAAGTACTTTCGCAAATGTTTACCTCTCTTCTCCCTGATATGACTGTCGTATTGGGAGTTGCTGCGTGCGAAATTAATCGCTGCCATTGTGGATTGGAATTCTTGGTATTCGTCTTGAGTACTTTGTTGTTGTAGTGTCTGATGACCTGTCAGACACTTACCGAAAGTACTACTAGCAGTTATCGTTGAAGGGGTTGTCGGCGTATGTATTACACTTGCACTTGCACTTGCACTAACACTCGGACTTCGACTGCGGCTGTCTTTGCCGGCTGTCTGGTTGGGCTCCACACGTGTGGGCACAATTACCAGATGCTTTGCAGCGACGCCTTCCGTATCCGAATCGTCACTTAAATCACTTTTCAGAGGGTTTTCGGCTTTTTCCTGTCCAATCGTGCTGCTACCCAAACGTACATTAGCACCAGATAGAGCTAAACCAGTTGGACGCGTTAATTTTCCGGCAAAAGCTTGACGCTGTTGTTCTTCGCGCAGTTCACGTTCTTCACTGGCATGCCTACTACTAGTTACTGTTGTCGTTGTAGTCGTTGTCGTTTTCTTCTTTCTGCTGACAACTCGTTGCGATTCTTCTGCGGAAGAATCGTGCGATTGGCCCGTCTCTAATATGCTAGCCGTATGCGTACCCGTTACTCTATGTCCTGCCGCGGCTTCGCCTTTTTCTGTACTGATTGTTACTGCTTCGCCTGATTGCATTTGCCATGGGGTTTGTTCCTGAGTATCTAAAATCATATTTTCTCTAGTGTTGTTGGTTTCCATTTGTTGTTTTTGCCGTTGCTGTTGGTAATACCATTGGCCCGACTGTTGCGGTTGCGGTTGTTGTTGATGGTGGTGGTGGTGTGTGCTACCCACGGTAATGTCAATGTTACCAGGTGACGTTTCCATCGCAACGTTGTACATAGCAGCGGCACCACCGCCACCGTCCGGACTACGCGCTAACTGACGAATGCGCGCCTGCACAGAGTCAGTAATATCGCTGTTTTCATGATATGTACTCGAGTCGAGAATTTCATCCTCCAAACGTATTAGTATACGGCGACCACCGGCGGTCATATCTACAGATCGTGGTGGTGTTGCACTAGCGCGACCGCTTACAGAACGCGGCACGGAATCTTCGCGTTCTCTCTCCATGGATTCGAAGAAAGCGCGATTCTCCCGTTGGGGTGAAGAACGAGGCGACACATAACCTTCACCATGACGGAAAATTTTCTCTTCATGCTTGCGCCCATCACTTGTCATGGACGAAGTGACGATCGTGCGTACACCATCAACGGCATGAACTTCTCGCACTGTCTTCTCGGATTCCAGAAAACGAGCAGATGCATGTTTCGGATCGCCAGGACTAACGGGACTTATCGGATATCCAGGTCGTGTTGTTGTGCGTAGCGTGACATTGAAAGGGCTACCTGTAGCCGTTGAAATTTCTTCATATTGCTGTGAGCTCGTTGACAAATCCTTCTTAACAATGCGACGTGTCGTACGCAGTGTTACATTAAAAGGGCTTGCTGATTGATCGTCTCCTGCATCGATATGTCCTGATTCATTACCGGGGCTTAGTTTAGTGGTTGTACGCAGAGTGACATTAAATGGCAACGCTGTGTAATCTTCTTGTACCTCTACCCGACGCGGCGAAGGTTGCGGCGTATGACGCAACTGCACCTGTTGAAATGCCTGCTTAGCCGCTTCGGCTTCAGCTAATCCACGCTGTCGTTCCCTACGCAGACGTTTCTCAATTTCCAGCACATCAATATCAAAAGGATTTTCTAATGTCTCACCAACAACGGTGATGGCTTGTGTTGAGTGTTCCGCAGTTGAAGCTTCCATAAATTCGCGTCGCAACTCTTCGGCACTCTCATCTGGCGAACGCTTAAGACTACCGCCAGAGGACCAAACCTTTTCATACTCCGCCACTTTCTGGCGTAAACGTTGTGGTGTCGTTGCCGAATCAAGCTCTTCCTCGGCCACATATTGCAACGAACTAGAGCTTGAGCTGCTCTCATGGAATTCCGACGAGCAATGTATAATCTTACGCGTAGTGTAAGTGCGCGTAATTGTTGACGTCTCCAGCTGTTCGTGTGTGTCATCCTCAATAACAGTGCTAATGTCGGTCACAGCTGGTTCTAATGGTGTTGCAGCGCCACTTGACGGCAACACGTCAGCTCTTCGATTTAATCGCCGTGTCCGTGTAGCTGGTACGGGTGGAGGCCCAGCGTCTGCATACTCATTCTCATAGTTGGTATCACGATCTCGACCCCTATCAACTGCTGTTGGTGCAGTGGGTGGGTCTTTATTCTTTCCTGGATCTCTGTCCATGACATCGATATGTTTGTTGCTGCTTTTGTCATGTACGTCCAGTTGGCAGGACAACACATTGGCGTTGTCTCAGCGTCTTTTACGTCGCACAATTCACGGCTGTTTCTCTATGTGTCCGATTGTATACGAATGGTGCTGAAGTGAAAACTCCACATGCAAGACAATCGATTTTTCTCACAAACACATAACGCCTCGGCCAGGACTCACGCTCCTACAATAAGGATTTCGGCGTACGCGTGCCAAAACAAACTTAACGAATATGGCAATATGGCACTTTTAACTCGGCAAATAGAAATTAATTTTATTGCGTCTTTGTACGCTAAGCAGCTACGCGCAGTAGTTAATAGTAAAACAAAAAACGGATTAACAAACACAATTCACTTTATGCTTCTCACTTTTTACGGCGCGCACCCTTTTTGCTCACTTGAAAGGGCTCTCAAATTTTCATTTATTAAATTTTCAATTTTCTCTTGTTTTCTTTTTCGTTGATTGATTAATCTTTTACACAAATTTTTTTTTATATTTTTTTCAAAATTTATAGTGCAAGTGCTGTGCATACTATTTTTACCGTAAGCTTGAACGGTTTAGTATTCTACTCGTGTTTCACACATTTAATTTGTCACATAAAATTTGCTAATTCACACAAATGGCGTTCGCATAAATATGGTAGTAGCCTTTTCACAACTACTTAACAACATAAATTTTCTTCATTGAGGGATAATAATGCAAAATATTTTAAGTAGAAAAATATATACATATGTATGTATTATGTATATTATTTTGTGCGTTTTTTCGCCTTCTTGCTATTTATTTCCAATCCGTTGCAGTAGAAAGCCGGTTCGATACTGAAACCGAGACTGACCAACTAAACTTCAAGTGCTGCTACACACCTTTTTCTCGTTGCTCCAAAGCGCCAACGACACGAAGATCCAGCTTCAACGTGAGCGCCAGCATGGAGAAAATAACATCGATTTTTGAATGGATAACGAGACACGCTTGCTGGAGCGCTCAGCGTGTGTACAAACATGCATACAGACATACTCGTATATACATACATATGTACAAGGTATAGTAGCGATGAGAGCATCGGTATTTGCCGGAGCTTCTTACTACGTTTTACGCTCGGCTAAAACCACCACCACCACAACACCTTGAGCAAGCGACATGCCAGCACTACATTGTACTATAGCAGTGAGCACTAGGGGAGGAACGTAAGCAACGACTGGCAAATGCTCTCGAAACTGTGTCAGCGTATGTCCACTTGGGGTTGATAAGCCCTGCTGTTAGCACTTATGCAGCTATGTAGACATTTAGGTATAGATGAGCGCACGTTAACTCTAGCTCTCTATGGCTGTTGGCGCGCTTTGTGCGCCACAGCGGACACGTTTGGTTGAGGGGGGTTTGTTTTGAATGTGACATCATCTTCGTAAACATTTCACGCAACATTTTGACGAAAACAAAAAACAGTAGCTGCACGCTACACAGTAAATAGAAGGTATATTAAGAGGCTAAAAAAAAATTTTTTTTTTATGTTTCCAGCTAACAAATGAACGGTATTATTTTATATTCATGAAACTCTTTTTATTGCCAAAAATGCATTCGGAGGTTTAAAATCGCATATCGAGGTTGACTGCTATTTGAAACAGTTTTCACTATTAGTAGAGGCTTGCGTTGAGCTTAGACCTTGCATCATACGCTCAATTAGCAAAGTGTAGTATAGTTTGATCTAGATTCGTGTCTACTTTTTAAAAATAAGATATAAAATATCAAAACATTGCTCATTCTCGCTAAGCTCACTCCATTTTATGTGGTTTTGTGAAAGAAAAATTATGAATTTATGAGTCCGCAGATGTCAAAATTTTATATCTGGCTAGGGGTGATGCTACACTTATGTAACGTTAACTAAAAATTCAAGATGGACACAGACAACCTTCCCAGCGAACAAGACGACAAGTTTGAACTGTTAGATAATCAAGAAGTAGACTGACATACGCTCTGCTAATGCAAATAGTAAACCAAAAGATTTTATTTTTTATCTTAGACACTTAACTAATTAAATTTCGATTTCGTCTTATAATTACTGAATAAGCAATTATGCCTACTGAAGAGTTCGCTCAGAGTCGACACAACTATCGACAAAAGACGAATAAACAGTTAGCCTTGTTTAGCATACCTTTTATTTGCACTTTTTTAACTGTCAAGAAAATCAGTTCAGAATATTATCTTGCCAGATTATCAGCAGTAGGTACTTAATACATGCAACTCAATGATTTATAAAAGCAATGTCAAAAAAACCACAAAACAGTTGTTCAGGATTTTATTCAATTGTGTTTGCTTTACGCTTTCGTTATTGCACAAGGTCAGTTCGGATATTCAATACATAGAATAGTAGATGTAAATATGTAGTTTACTTCAACTAGCACTTCTGTATGATATACATATGTAAATACTCTAAAAAACATATAATATTTCTTACTTTAATAGAATAACACAAACATAACATACATACATAAATAGTTAGTAAGAGCATGAATTACTACTGTATGACTTCATAAATATAAAAAAAGATTGTTTTCAACACCTCAAAACTTCCCCGATTTCATTTCGCTATACTCACATCATATGTAGATGTGCATTAAACGCAGAACCAATGAAGCTCTAACAAGTCTTAATGTGATTACAAACACTCAGCGCTTTATGGGCCACCATTTAGCTATTACCTAGTTTTGTTGTCACGACTTTTAAGAGAGCCTCTGTAAGAACATACATATATATATATATATATCTATATATATATTATATATGCTTACTATATATGTATGGTCACACACCCACAATGTATGTAAATATGTGGCGATATTGCCCTTGCTGGTTGACATCATAACATAATAGGTGGCGCTAACTAGTAAAAAATAAATAAACATCAATGCCTTGCCGCTGCCTGGCGTACGCAAGCCTCCCTCTAAGAAATTCGCTTGAAACATATGACTCTATCAGCTTATAACTCAAACGAGAACAACTATATAAAAATAATAATTAGAACTCAAGTGATTTAGATTTTATTCCAAATTATTGCCAAAATGAAAATTAAAATATTTTTTTACAATTTCCATTCCCCCTTTAGCGGTTTTCTCTTGTGCACAGTATTGCTACTTATATCTATATAAAATAATTGTCAGAAATATTTGCAATTCCTGACCGAGTATAGCTAAAGTTACGTCACACAAAAACCTTAAACATGCGCTTATACTTAAAAGCCACTCACGAATCTCATTTTCTCGCTGATTTCTCACTTTAAGAGTTTGTGTAATTATGTAAGCCACTTTTTACTTATAGATAGCTCAGAATTATCGCTGATCATGATGATAATGAGTGCATTATGTAGCCTTACACTTGCTAACAGTTACATAACAGTCACCTAACAGAACTGTAAGACAAGAGAAATCAGCTCACATATCAATATATTCTATAACAACCCATTTTACATATATACATACACACAGTTATATGTATGTATGCTTATGTTTGACCTATTGTCATTTCATTGCCATCGTCCGACTTGTTCGCCGTTATTTTGTAATTGATTAGATAGCAGATACACACTTGTTTACATATGTCGTGTACATAAATCATTCATATCTGTAGATGTAAATATGTTCATCGCATTCAATAAATCTATAGTATATACATACAAACATATAATAGGATAGCATATGTAGTCTCCATTGAAGTCATTTAAAAAGACACTTAATTAAATTAGACTACAGGCAATAAAATGGTGTTCACCTCAAGCGCATCGAGGATCCGTCTAACGACTATGGTAGTTAACAATTGGCTATTTATGTACATATGTTTGTATGTATTTTCTCAGGCTTTTTTAATTTGAATGCACAATGTGGGTTGACATCATAACTTAGTTATATGTACGATAAATTATGAATGTGTGTAGATGAGAAGGAAAGTGTTTTTAACACGTACCATTATATAAACAAATGTATGTATGTATATGTTATTGAGGTATACATATACATACAGTCTTTTCTCATATGCATGAAGAGGTGTTGCATTTACAATGTGACCTTTTATATAAGGTGTTTAAGTGTTTAAATATGAAGGATCTCCGAATATATTGTTCAGATCGGTCACTATAGTTTACAGCTGCAATTCAAACTGAACGATCAAAATCAGAATAAAGATCTTTTTATCACCCTTTTATGCTATAAAAAATTAAACTTTGAAGGGTATTATATGGTATAGGGTAGCAGCCAAAGTAAACATTTTTTCTTGTTTTTTTTTTTAACAGCTTAGCCAACAGATCAAAAGAAAATATACACATTTGTATGTTTGCTTGAATTAAAACAAAAAATTATTTCTACTTTTTTCAGTATAACAAACCGCAGCTAGCAATTATAAATAATTAAATTGTATTTCTAGCTTCTATCGCATTTTATAGAAATGATAGTCCTCTTACGAGTATATGTAAGTATTGTGAACAGAAAGGGAAAGTGATTTGCATATTTAATGGCATTCATACACACATACAAATACATACATTTTTAAATAGGTATATATGTATATATATTAGGGTGGAGCGAAAAAAAAATTTTTTTGGCTTAGCCTGAAGGTAAAATCTATAGATTTTATAAAAATAAAATGTTTGGCCAAAATAAAAACATTTTTTAACACCTAGAGGCGGTGTACTCAGTTTTAAAGTAAATTTCCAAGTCAAAATTTTTATTTCGTAAAAAAATTTTGATAAGTGTTCTAGAAGCTATGGAAAGTCCTCTTTCGGGCCAATTAAAATTTATCAACTTAAAAAAATTTTTTGTGGTCATTATTGGAGTTTTAAAAAAAGTCTTAAATGACCACATGCTTTTCTTAAGCGTTAAAATAAAATTTGAGTCAAAAATCGTCAAATTCGGTATATTTTATATAAACGTGAAGAGTTTAAACCAAAAATTATTTTTCCTTGTCCAAAATAAATTTTAACTCGAAATTTACTTCAAAACTGAATCGCGCCGTTAGGTGTTAAAAAATTTTTTTTTTTTGTCCAAAAATTTCCTTTTTTATAATTTACAAATTTGACCCCCAGGCTAAGCAAAAAAAAAAATTTCGCTCCACCCTAATATATATATGTATGTTACAAATATTTTTAAAGTCTGTTATAATATTTATTTCTGAGTTAAGGGTGGGAAAGCCTTTATTTTTGGCAGCTGATAGCTTACATCTATAATTTTTTTATTTTCCCATGGAGTACCAGACAGTGTAAGAAAACATCGAATTAGAAATAAATTCTTAGGTACGCTTTAATATTAATTTATTAATTATTAATTTTTTTGTTTTCCTCCATGGAGTACCAAAGAGTGTAGGAAACATCTAATTAGAAATAAATACTTAGCTACGCTTAAATATTATGAAAATTCTTAATTTTGATGATTCTCATTTCAAAAATATCGACTTCTTATACCAAAGAAGAGTATGTAATTGACATACGTCAAATGCATATCTCATAGAAATTAAAAATACCAAATGCTTTCATGACAGCAGCAACTCTAAGGTCGGTGTATATACACGAAATAGTCTATAAAAACTCTCTAGGCAGCACTCAAACCAACCGATCAAGGCCTAGGTAGCAAAGATAAAATTATACCACCGATCGATCAAATAGAAATTTCAAAGTATAGTTGTTTACAGGAAATAGAAGGAGAATTTAAACATATGCGTTTTACAGCACACCAATCATCTTATAAATAAGGTGTATTCGATAAGCTCTGAATTAGTATACCCTGAACAGGGTTTAATAAGTTTTCCACGAAATTTATAACACCAAAAAAGAGGCGTCGGAGACCCTAAAAAGTATATACATATATAACTGATCAGCATGACAAACTGAGTGGATTCAGTCATGTCCGTTT